GTTTATAAGGCGGTCCGATGAAGAAACACACCCGTCCCTCTGAGTTACGAAACACGTGCGGAAGGGGCTCCACCGATGCTAGCTGGCAGTGCAAGCCTTCTCCTGTGCAGTGTCGCCATTCTCTATCTTGTCCTCCGCCGTACCGATCTCTGTCTCGCCCTCCGCAACGCCAGCCTCGCCCTTGTCTCGCTCGGCGGTGGTAGCCGCGACTGATTTCACCTTGCTCGCGATCGCCTTCCGCTCCGCCTGTGGCCAGAGAAAAATGTAAAGGGCGCACTGGTTGAGCGTTGGCATGATATGCCAACGACGTGATGATTCAGCAAAGGCGCAAGGTACGTCTGGCTGACTCAAGGGACATTTTCTCGTGAGGTTACAAAAATGGTAAGCGACAGCTACAAGAGCTTCAGCAATCGGAAGGGGTAATCGCATCCTCGTGGGTGTGAAAGCTTCTTCGTTTTACCAAGGGTGACTCCATTCACCACGGCGACAAGTAATGGAAGCCGGCACCAGAATGAAATATCGTTGTTGGCACTTTGTAGGCGGTCTAGATACACATGACGTCAACAAGAGGATACCCTCAGCAAACCGACATCGGTGCAAAAGTGGAAGTACTGTACATGACACGCCAGCTGGCTGCACGGTGTCCATGTGACGCTTTGTTTCCACACGAAATTTCGCAAAAACCGTTGTTTCGCGTGTATTGGCATAACTCCATGTCATACTGAAAAAAGACAAGACGCAGGGAGGTTTCGCGCATTGCAGAAATGGCGAAACGCTGAACGATTGAAGTAGTCTAGCCTACATTTTTAAAAGGTCAGAGATAGCATTCCCCATCCATTTCTCATATCTTATTTGGGCGCCGTGTGTAGCAACATGCGGTAAGGCGGACGGGGTGCTCTGCATTCAAAAGCCCTGGGCAACGAAACCCGACTGAGTGTCAAAATCGCACCTAAGCAGAAGCGTTAGCTCACCGATGGCGCACCTTAAAACACTTGGACGAAACGCAAGCCGGCAGCGCGCAACACTTCCGTCAAATTCATCGAATAGCTGTGGTCTGCCTGTGGAAGGGGCGAAAAGAGCTACGACGTCCTCTGCCATCCACCCCTGTGGCATACCCAGCTGCCGACCCCCCACCCCCCCGCCCGCCCCCCAATGAAGCATCAGTCATGCACACCCCCAACGCGCCGTTCCGCCCACTCTTACCTGCAACTCTCGGCAGCGAGCCTGGAGGCGGTCCTTCTCACGTTCAGCCTCGGCCGCCGCCTGCTTCTTTTCGCGCAGGAGCGCCCGCATACCGTCCTCTCCAAGCTTCTCATCGTCACGGCGGTCGCTTCTGTCGTCGCCCCCGCCACCACCACCGCCGGCGTCGTCAACACCACCCTCACCACCCACCACCAGGCAGCCCGCGCGAGCGAGCAGGCTGGTCTTTTCCTTAGAGAGGCGCGCGATGGACACGAGCAGCTTGGTCTCGTTGGCCTGCAGGCGCTGGACGGACTCGAGGTACGTCTTGAGGCCGGCTTCCTGGCGCTCCAGGCGAGTGGCGTGCTCGCCAACCCTTTTGCGAAGCACTCCCTGTTGTCGTTGTCGTTGTTAGGATGATGGCGGTCGGTGTGTCGGTGAAGCATGACGCAGCAACACGGGTACGAACCGAAGGGCGAGGAGAGAACAACCCAAAACAAAAAAGGCGGGTGGTGTCTGTTGCGGCGTTGAGGATAATTTCTTGTATGCTGCTGCCGTCGACTCATGGCCACGTGGGGGGGGCCGGAAAAGGTGTCGTGCAGGTTGTGTACACGACAGGACGGAAAGCCCTGAACTTGAAGGCAAAATGCGCCGCGAGAATGGAGGGCGTGGGTGCGCGTGTACTTCAGACATGAACGTAGGAGCTAAAATAGCATAAATCGATCAACATCGGACGTACTGTAACCCCACTCCCTGTCCTTCACAACTAGCCCCCTCTGCCCCCCCCCCCGTCGCCGCGTTCCATGATTTGCTGCTTCGGAGCGATCGAACAAAACTACACAGGTAACCATCTCTTTCGACTCAACTACAGTACAGTTCAAATCGCACAAACGCACACACACACCTATTTGTCTACAACAGGCATGAGCTGGAGCGAAACCCCCCCAAAAACCCTTCGTGTGTTGTCAAAAACAAAAATTCGTGCGGCCTTTCGGCAGGGTCACCCCACACGAAGAAGCATTTTTACCTCTGCTTCCGCAAGTCCTCCGATGGCTTTCCTCAGCCCCTCCTCTCTGCCCAAAGATATTTGTGCTGCGGCGGCAAGGCTCTCGAGGCGCTTGGCCAGCTTCACGCCCTGCGTGCGCGTCAAAAAACCCACAACGACAAAAAGACCAAAAACGAGGCAAAAAAAACAGCGGAGCGTGTTCTTGGCGTTTGATTCGAATAGCCTCCAAGTGCATTCGAATAGTTTGCAAGTGTACCGCCGTGGCCATCTCCAACCAGGCAGGCGTTGGTGCTATTTACAGCGATCGGAGCACTTTGAGCACTTTTCAACTGTGAACAAGGACCGATCACAAACGACGATGCGATGACCACAACAAGAACATTGCTCTCTCGCCTCCTGCAGCCGACAATACCTAAGCGTAGGTGACATAGGATACCACACCCCCGGACCGATTCTCAAACCTCATTTTCTCCAGAGTGGCGGTGCCGAAAATGGCGGCGTTGGAGCCGTCTTGTCGAGTGAGCTTTCCGGAAACGCATCGTTTCACTTCTGCACCCTCCTCGTCGTGCACTGATCGAGCTTTGAATGAAAATCGGTCCAAGGAGTCTGGCATCTGGCGTCACCTACGGTATCTGTCTCACCTCCTCTTCGTGGCCCCTGAGGGATTTCTCGGAGGCGGCCTTGTTTTCATCGTAGGTCTGAAGGAGCGCCTGCGCCAATCAACGAACAGCAACAGAACCAGAGGCGGCAAACGCGCTTGCTTTTGGGGCGCCACGGGAGATGTTGCTTTAGTGCGACGCTCGGCGAGGAAAGTAGACGTGGGGGGAGAGGTGAGGCCAGCTGTAGCATCAAACGTAAGCTATAACAGGAGTAAACAACGACAACGAACAAAACAAGGGGTCGCTTCTGCTGCTACACACGTGCACCCAAAGAATGGCTTTGTGTTGCATTTCTACTCTGCCAGCGACACGATGATGGCCGTATCGTGATCGTCTACAGCTCACCTGAGCTCAAATCCAAAACCCAGCACACGGCAACACACCAGAGACAAACAGGGCGTACAGTACGTCCCGAGGAAACAAAACGAATGCTACGCAAACACGAAACGCAACCAAGGGATCATCACGCCGACAGACGGGAAGGCCCTCCCCTTCTACAGCAAGCAAAATGACGCATAAATTGGCAATAACGTGCATGTCTTCAGAGTCGCATACCTATCCGGCAACACGGCGCAAAAAAAAAATCTCTTCTGGGAGCGAAAGCCGTACGGTGCTGTGCACCGGTTGTCTTGAAAACGCGTGCCCTCTGCCGGTGGAAAACCATATCATGGTACTCCCCATGGTATATATATCCCAAAGAAACGCCTCACAAAAGCATAAAAAACAGCGTCCATCGCTCTTGCGATGCAACACCGTAACATGCAACCGCGCGCGCCCTCGACCGTTATACACACATGCATATGCACATGGACGCACACCTGCAAGCGTGCAAAGGACCATGCTCTCTTTGAGGTCTTGCTCTGCCTCGCGCGTGACTTGATCGTGGGAGTCGACAAGAAGAACAAAAAAAAAACAAATTCGGTACACATACAGTACTCGTACACACCTGGAGGTCTGAGCGGAGGCTGGCGTTCTCTGCGTCCTGGGCGATCCTTTCCTCTTCCTGCTCCTTGATCTTCTTCGAAATGTCGCTTACGACGGCGTTCAGAGAGGCATTCATCTCTTCCCTTCGGAGTAGAGCGCGACGCAAAGCGCCAAAACCCCAGCAGGGGGGCAAAGAACGGCGAACACGACGTTGGCGAGGGTGCAACATCGTGGCCCAAGGGGCCACGAGCCCCCTTAGCTGTGCGGTTACTTCCTCTTTCTCTCTCTCTCTCTATTTCATCGGCTCCAATCCCCCCCGCAAGGAAAAAGGATCGTTCTCTGTACCAAATCCCCATCCTAGGAACACAAGCAACAACAGAAACAAGCGAGTCAAACACTCCCGTGGGTCGGCGCGTAGGAAGACAGATACCACCAGAGACAAGGGATATCTAAATTCTACGTGTGCTGATCGATCACCTCCTCGCCGTCTCTTCCCCCGCTTCCACGTTCCGGGCCTCGAGCATCGCCGTTCGTCTCCCGTCGAGCTCGCCGCTGAGGGTCTGCAGCTTCGCCGCCGCATGATTTAGCCGCGCCGCCTCGCGCGCCTCCGCCTCCGCCTCCACCCGCATTGCCTTGAGGGGACCGGGAGCGGCGGCAACCAAAGGCATCCCCAACGGTAAGGCCGGCGCGAGAGACAAGTTAGCCACGAGATTCCACCAACAGCGGCAAAAAAAGTTTCGCCGCGCCGCCGCAGCCTCCGCCTCATTTCAGCACACAGACCAGCCCTACCCTGCACGAATCAAATCTACGAGCCAAACCTTGTAGCGCACCTACCCAACTGTACAGCAGGGACCTCACGTTCAACCGTTGGCGTCGATGGGTTTCAGGGCCAGAGGGTACAGGGTTAAAATGGGATGCAATAAAAGGGTGACATATGTGGCAGGCAGTAAAGCCGGGGAACTTGCAACGGCCAGCTTCTGGTTCTGACAGCGGACGGTTTACCCCTTGGCCTCCGCGGCAATTCTTCGCCTTCGCGCCGCCCTCGACCAGCCACCGGGCGAAACTTAAGGCCATACACCCGAGGCCCAATCTCCCATCAACTATTGTTTTGTGATCAAACGGAAAGTACCCATCACTGGGGGGAGGGGGGCGATGAACAAAAGCGAACGACCTGTGCCAATTTAAGACTAGGAAAAGGTTGGTGCACTTCGGCTCCTATTCTACCTCGTTCAATTTCTCCATATCTTGGGTCTTGCGAGTTAGCATGTCGGCTTGCTTGGTCATTGTCCTCGCCGCTTGCACTTGTTCTCGGTACATGTCCCGCAGGGCCTGTGTGGCATCATTGTCCCGCGCAAATTGGAGTAGACTATGTTACACACCACAAAGAACCCAGGACAGATGCTTGCTCAGAGATGCCGCCGCCCACCGCCGCTACCATAGTCGGCAGCGAAAAACACGATGGATCAACGAGTGTAGCAGCGACAGTTTGTGCTTCATCGGTCCAAGGAGTATGATACAGGACGAACGAACCGACCGGACTAGTAACAAATCCAAAACACATGTACAGCTGGGTGCTTGGACACGGGACCGTATGAAGGTGCGCAGCACGGTTCGGTCGGACCAAAGCGGAGGGGCATCTCCGAGGTGACCCCACCGCTAGACAAGCGAACGTACGAGCCGAACGAAGAGACACCAATCAAGAAAGCGTGCCAGAACACTTCGCGTGGCATCGAACCCCGATACTGAGCGACCCGTCACTGGGCACACTGCTTGTGCACAACTTCAAACGAGACCCCTCATCACAACGACTAAGCCATGCCAGAAAACTGGAGGCGTGCTTCGGAGCTCACAGTGCCAGCGACTTCGTTGTTGCGTCTATTGCACACCGTTCAATTCGACCCGGCTTATGTCCAATTGGGAACTAGCGAGCATAACTCCCTTGGCGTTCGGAGATCTAATGAGTATTGATTGTATCACTTTTGACCGAGACCATCATTATTAGGGGATCTAGGGCGTGCGGGCGGCAGGGTCCGACGGAATACTATCAAGTTATATAGGGCGACGGCTGCGGCCAATATCTCGATCCGGAGAGAACATATCTACAGAGCGGGAACCGCCCCGCCCACTTACTTCCTCGCCGTCTGCCTTGTGTGCAACAGAGGTAATGACACACCTGCATCCCTTGCGGGGTGAAGCCATGCCACTGCTGCTGCTGCTGCGGCGGCAGCGTTCCGCTATTCTCCGAAGACCCACGTGGAGTACTCTGCAAGCCTCCCTCCTTTCGCGCAAGCAACACCTATGGATGAATCAAGCATGCCGGAAGATGTACAATGCGCATGATCGACAAAAGCATGCACTACTCTCTTAACATGACGCCGGGGAAACAGTCCAATCAGGGTATGGCCTTGCTAAACCTAGCCTTTTCTCCTCAACCTCTACCGCCGAGCTGACGACCCCACCCCTTGGGGTATTCTAATGGTCTCGCGCCCACTCCTGCCTGCCCTGGTCTGATTCCGACTTTCTTTGCGCTCTCAAGCCTATAATCTGGCGAAGCAAAACCTTAAGGCCTGCTGAACAGTCTCTCGCGACGCTTGGAGAGAGAAGAAAACAAATCCTGTCACCTGCGCCTCGAATCGTCGCATCACTTCTTCTTCGCTTTCCACGCATGCCGCATCTCTCTCTCCTCTCCCTTCCGCACCGCCAGGCTTTCCCTTAACCCCCGATGCTGCCGCCGCCGCTGCCTGGCCATTCTGCGGCCGACTCTGGCCAGCCTGAGGGTAAGCAAGCCGGTGCTTCGACGTTGCCTTACAAGCTTGTCTGCCGCTGCCATGAGCGGCATTGGTGGAGGACGAAGACGTGGCCCCAACCGCCGCCGCTGCTGCTGCCGCCGCCGCCACCGCCACCGCCTGCTGTCCCCTCGCCCTCAAGGGGGAGGAAGGGGTAGGGGCCGCGGCAGCGCCATTGCCGTTCTTGCCTTTGCGCTGCTGCTTGGCCCTTTCAAGCTGCAGTTGCGCGATCTTAGATCTGAGCAGAACTTCGTTCGGTAGGACAACCGGCTTGGCGATTCTGTGCGTGCGGGAGTCACGGTTGGCGTAGCGCAGTAGCAGCAGCGGTAGCAAGCGTTCGCGAAGGGTGATGAGGAGAGCGACGTGTATAGATAGCCGGGAGACGTGCATCAAGGAACAAGACGAAAACGGAAAATTCAACCCGAAGCAGTTCGTTCCGGACTCCCGATGCTGACTCAGCACCGGTATGGAATGGGGAGCATCCACGACTTTTCTCCTAATGCAAACAGCATGGTGGGATTCATTGTTCCTGCTTGCGACATTGAACACTTCTGTCAGGCTCCAACTGGACCTTGCTAATTCTGCCGCATGAAACCGATAAAACCAAACAGGGAGCAACAGCCCCGTTTTTGACAATTAGGCCTGTCCTCCATCGGCCGTTTTATTTTCGATTTAGATACACAAACTTTATTTCTATACTAATTTCAAGTAAGTCCACCTTCTTATTCTCCGTCATACAAGCAAAACGGCCGATGGAGGACAGGCCTAGTTTTTGTCCCAGTGTCACCAACTTTAATCATTTTTTGCTTACACACGGCGATTTTCACAACTAAATACCCGCTCGTTGGTTTTCGGGTGTTTCTGAAGTTGGATGTACTGCAGCAGTCTTGGGGTGACAATGGTCGCCAAGCTTGCCACCGACCGCGCTAAACGGCTAACCAATGAAAACAGTTTCCCAAGAGGGACAAACGAACGTCCCTCGCCAGCGTGAAGCGTGCTGTTCGCTCGTATGCGTGCCGATTTGGTGCAGGAAGACATTTCAGGGGAGGGTTTACTTCCAATAAGAATAAATATCGACATGAGTGCCTTTACCTACAGTAAATGATGCATGCCACCTACTCCTAAGCTACAAGTAGGTGGCTGTGACAACATGCAGAGCTGCAGTGGGACCTGCTCTCTGCAGCATTGGGACCTGCTCTCTGCCGGAGGATGTATTTCGTCGTGTTCGTTGCATCTCGGTCTCAGCAGGAAATTACACCAAATCGTCCTCCAGGTGCTTACACGCTCTCGATTGTGATGCGTAAAATAATACTATAGCGCAATGTAGGTGCACCGCATCCAGGCAATGTTTTCATAGACACTATCATTTGGAGAGCTGCGGGAGGCTTTGGAGTTGACTTTGCACATTTTGACCGTGTACTCGGAAATAATGCACTTGGGCAGGCCTTACTCACGATGATGAACCGCAGACGCTGGGATCTGCGCTCGGCTTTTCGCGAGTCGGAGGTAAAGCATGCTTTGGCATCGAGGCTGTGTGTACTCCCCAGATGAGGGATGTATGATGCAGGGGCTTCTGGTGCGCTGCAAGAGCGGGTGCGGTGCAGTGGTGCTTGGTGCTTGGTCCGCCATTGCCGCCATGTGCGGGGTCGCAACGAACAGTAAATACCCAGGGATGAAAAAGGATTTCACGAAGCCCCCTGCTAGAGGTTGCGCCGCGCCGCTGGCTCGTCACATCAACCAAACGCGTGATCATGTCCCAAGAAAGGTATGGTACTGTCAGGGACCCGCAGGAGTCGCCGGCAGCGGGAGGAAGAGGACACGTTCTACCTTTGTTGAGCACGACCTGGTGAGGGATTTGATTTCCATGAAATTGCGACAGGGTGGGCGCCACGGCGCGTCAGAATTTCCGTCCAAACATCCAAAAGACCGGTGTGTATGATCTGCATTCATAGAGCAGTGTATTTTTCTTGAACACACGCCACCGCCTTCGACAGGGGACGTGGTGACCATGCCCTTATAGCGCAACGTACGCAGCGGAATTTGTAGTTGGCGATAGTTACCCCCCACCCCTAACTCCATGGCTCGTAAGCAGATTGTCAGCTGGCAACATGATTGGCACTTGTTTTGTGTGTTGGGAGGACACCTGCATGATGGTGTCCGAAGGAACAAAATAAGCCGGCTTTATGTGTAGTCTATACCGCGGTCGCCAATACATTGTTGCCTCTCAGCTAGCAGTGGGCTTTCGAGCCCGCCCACTATTCTTTGCTCATGATCCCGAGAGTGGCTGTAATATCCAAAATTGACCACGGAGCAAATTCTTTTCACTCCTATTCGATAAGTCGTTGCATTGTGTCACGCATGTGACGGCCTCCACTGCTCTCTGACTACTGCTGTATGTAGTCAGCTTACCATAGGATGGCGTCTCGCTCAAGTCTCGCTCAGTTTTTTTTTTTTTTATGTGACACACGTGACACCTGTCTCGTGTAGCGGGGATGCAACAGGAAACGACAGCAGGGAGAAAGCGCCGTTGCGTCAAGGGGCTAGACTCACCCCAGCGCAGCATGTTGGCGACGACAGCAGTGGAGAAAGGGATCTGAACCATGCACTTGGTGGGCGGGACGACCGGGAGACGAGGGCGGGCACCGCCGGGGGCGGACCTTCTTTGCGGCGAGCGATCTTAGCGAAACACCCGTGGGCAAGTGATTCTGTGAATCTCGTGTCTGCTCGGTATGCATGTTTTGTTGCGTCTGCTCCGTATTGTTGTTGTTGGACCAATATGTAGAATGTTCTATTTAATAATAGTCTAGAGCCGTTGGGTGGTGCTGAACCCTTCAATTGTCCCCTCTTCAACGCGACCTGGAAGCACGTGAAGATGGACAACAGGAAAATCCCGCGCTTGGCGCAAGCAAACGAGCTGTAGCAGCAGAATACAAGAGTACGTATGTCCGTTGCAGTGGCACGCCATACTGCGAGCACAGCCCCAGTTTCCCTTGACCTGCCGGTCTCTGATGGGACCAACACTTGTGGAAAGGGGAGGATTCACATAGCTGGAAAGCACGTATTAGTATCCTCCTACCCGAATAGCGCTCTTTCTTGATATCTCACCAACAGGTATGTTAGGTGAAAGGAACACGCCGCGCTGGCATACCCGAGCAAATCAACTGACGTTTGTTTGCTTGCGGACCACACTGCTAAAAACATCGCCGTATCCATAGGAGCGGGAGGGACAGATGTGTTGAGCATCCCTGTTACCAGAAAAATCTCTCGAAATACAAAATAAACGATATTCGGCGTGAAGACAACAGTGTGTGTATCTGTTGGCAAGGATGTACGGGTGCGGCACATACGTACGACCAAACCAACAAGCTGACTGATGGCCAACATCTCATTACCGTAATTGTGCGTGTTACCCATCTGCGACTTCGCAACCATCGCGGTTATGGACCGGGGTACCCAGAAAGAGCAAGAACGCCGTGAGTTATGTTGCATTTGCGCGCCGGTATCTGTGTCATCGCACCGGGTGTGTCATCAACGATACAAAACCAGCTCAGAACGTACATTTGCGTGCCCGCAAGGTTCTAGTTCCTTCCGGGCCACGTTTTGAACGGCATGTAACGAGCGACTGCTATGGGGGTGCCAGTAGGCATCCATTGGGGCGCCAATCCTTTCATGAGTACGATCACACCGATTTATATCCTGCCTTTGACATAAATTTGCGTCCTTCCGCAAGGTACTGGTACCGTCCGGGCACGTTTTGATCTCTTGGTAACGAGCGACTACTGCTGTGCGACGTGGTGGTAGGTATCAAGAGGGCCGCCAATCCTTTCATGCGGAGTATTGAGTAGAAGTAGTATTGAAGTGTATGAGTAGAAATAAGCCGAAGTTTATTTTACGTTAATCGATGCGTACATCAAATGCACTCACGCAAGCAAGCACATAACCCGCACCTCCAACCAACCGAACAAAAAAAGGACTCGTATTTGGTGTTACCGGTACCGTGCCCCTTGAGGAAGGCGAATGAGGCTTGCGACCAACAAGAGAGGCTGGAAGAAAGACAGATACCGTACCGTATACCTGTTCCCAGCAGGGAACCACAACGTCTTTGGTCTTTGGTACACGCATACCCCGGATCCTGTACCACATAGAAACCCTTGTAGTTGCTCCAGGAAACGCTTGTCTTCATTTATTCAGCAGCTTACCTTTCGGTGTCATCAAACCGAGGTGCCTGCACTCAGCACGTATCCACCCATCGGTGTCATCGCGCCGGAGGTGTGTGGGAAAATCTAGATCGTTTTTTTTTTTGCATTTCCGAAACCGATTTTATCGGTGTTATGGCACTCATCGGTGTTGTATTACGGGGGCGCGATAGAAAGCCTCGGGAGGAACGATCGTACCCCGGTGCCATAACAAGCACAACTACGGTACAACAACGACTGGTTGTGCACTCGGCAGAGATCTCTGGGAACGCGCCCATGATGGGTGGGAAAAATGGACTGAAAAACGCATTCCACAGAGAAACGCAGGGAAACAAATTCCAGACAGTGGATATGACCCGCAGCCTGCTACTTTTGTGGTAGGTTTAGCGAGAATGAACACTGCTTATTGTAGTCCGCCGGGGTTATCGGGTTCTGCAGGCTCAAAGACAACCGGGGGATATCAGAGACGAGCAGATAGCTTGCATGCCGCACGTCGTCACTCGTTTATAAGCACAGAAATCAGGAACGAGACCACATCATGGTTTGTGTTGCGTGCCGGATTCCTCCGTCTCAGATGCGTGTGCTCTTCCGCGGCTTTTTGATGTTGCTGTCGACGGTGGTGATACTTCTCGCCGTGGCGGCGATCGCGCCTCCTCCGAATATGGCAAATGTGAGTATCTGTACTTTTTACGTTCTGTGTTTTTGCGTGACGTCTGTCTCGCGCGTAGTCCCATATGGTTGTTTTTTCCCGGAACGCCCAGGACTCATTTTTGAGCAGCACCGCCTGACACACTCGTGAAGTGTCTATCATTTGTTCAGACGCATGGGTGGTGCTTATGTACGGTCATTCAGTCATGCGTTGATGGGCCGCAAAAACCAAGTAGCATTCGCACAGCCTAACGAAACGTGCGCGGTGATCGAGACACGGCTGCGTTTCGTTTGGTGGTCACGCGATTGCTCGAAGGTCGAGGTGGCCGAACAGCGGCGTCAAACCGATGCGCTTTAGTAGTAGGCCGTATGTATCTGTTGGAAGACTGAGAGACAAGCTGCTTCACCAGCACTAGTTGCGGAACATGCTTGGATCTAAGGGTTTCGTGTTCATGGTGGTATGTGTTTGTAGAAGGGCGATCCCTCATCTGCCGTGCTTGGGCCAGCGCGCCCTGTTCACTCCTTGAACACTAGGTCCTGAGTCAATCTTTTCTTCACACCTGTGACGATGGGCACCATCTACCCAAGGCGTTCTTCTTTGTGTATCCCATGATCTCACCAAGGAATTCCGAATGGATTCACGCCCTCGCTGGGAGCACCGACAGCGTTATCTCCTCCACTTTCTTTCTTTTTGCGTATCCATCTGTCTATTCTCTTCGCGAGTTCGCACACCCCGTTCTCCCCCCCCCCCCCCCCCCCCCCCCCCCCCCCCCCCCCCCCCCCCCCCCCCCC